AGAGAGAGAGACCAGAGAGAGAGACCAGAGAGAGAGAGACCAGAGAGAGAGACCAGAGAGAGAGACCAGAGAGAGACCAGAGAGAGAGACCAGAGAGAGAGAGACCAGAGAGAGAGACCAGAGAGAGACCAGAGAGAGAGACCAGAGAGAGAGACCAGAGAGAGACCGAGAGAGAGACCAGAGAGAGAGAGACCAGAGAGAGAGACCAGAGAGAGAGACCAGAGAGAGAGACCAGAGAGAGAGAGAGAGACCAGAGAGAGAGAGACCAGAGAGAGAGACCAGAGAGAGACCAGAGAGAGAGACCAGAGAGAGAGACCAGAGAGAGACCAGAGAGAGACCAGAGAGAGACCAGAGAGAGACCAGAGAGAGACCAGAGAGAGACCAGAGAGAGACCAGAGAGAGAGACCAGAGAGAGAGAGAGACCAGAGAGAGACCAGAGAGAGAGACCAGAGAGAGAGACCAGAGAGAGACCAGAGAGAGACCAGAGAGAGACCAGAGAGAGAGAGAGACCAGAGAGAGAGACCAGAGAGAGAGACCAGAGAGAGACCAGAGAGAGAGACCAGAGAGAGACCAGAGAGAGACCAGAGAGAGAGACCAGAGAGAGAGACCAGAGAGAGACCAGAGAGAGAGACCAGAGAGAGAGACCAGAGAGAGAGAGACCAGAGAGAGAGACCAGAGAGAGAGAGACCAGAGAGAGACCAGAGAGAGACCAGAGAGAGAGAGACCAGAGAGAGAGACCAGAGAGAGACCAGAGAGAGACCAGAGAGAGAGAGACCAGAGAGAGAGACCAGAGAGAGAGACCAGAGAGAGAGAGACCAGAGAGAGAGACCAGAGAGAGAGAGACCAGAGAGAGAGACCAGAGAGAGAGACCAGAGAGAGAGACCAGAGAGAGAGAGACCAGAGAGAGACCAGAGAGAGACCAGAGAGAGAGACCAGAGAGAGAGACCAGAGAGAGAGACCAGAGAGAGAGACCAGAGAGAGACCAGAGAGAGAGACCAGAGAGAGACCAGAGAGAGAGACCAGAGAGAGAGACCAGAGAGAGAGAGACCAGAGAGAGAGACCAGAGAGAGAGAGAGACCAGAGAGAGAGACCAGAGAGAGAGACCAGAGAGAGAGAGAGACCAGAGAGAGACCAGAGAGAGAGACCAGAGAGAGAGAGACCAGAGAGAGAGAGACCAGAGAGAGAGACCAGAGAGAGAGAGAGAGACCAGAGAGAGAGAGACCAGAGAGAGAGACCAGAGAGAGAGACCAGAGAGAGAGACCAGAGAGAGAGAGACCAGAGAGAGAGAGACCAGAGAGAGAGACCAGAGAGAGAGACCAGAGAGAGAGAGACCAGAGAGAGAGACCAGAGAGAGAGAGAGACCAGAGAGAGAGACCAGAGAGAGAGACCAGAGAGAGAGACCAGAGAGAGAGACCAGAGAGAGAGAGACCAGAGAGAGAGAGACCAGAGAGAGACCAGAGAGAGAGACCAGAGAGAGAGACCAGAGAGAGAGAGAGACCAGAGAGAGAGAGACCAGAGAGAGAGAGACCAGAGAGAGAGAGACCAGAGAGAGAGAGACCAGAGAGAGAGAGACCAGAGAGAGAGAGACCAGAGAGAGAGACCAGAGAGAGACCAGAGAGAGACCAGAGAGAGACCAGAGAGAGAGAGAGAGACCAGAGAGAGAGACCAGAGAGAGAGACCAGAGAGAGAGACCAGAGAGAGACCAGAGAGAGACCAGAGAGAGAGAGACCAGAGAGAGAGACCAGAGAGAGAGACCAGAGAGAGAGACCAGAGAGAGACCAGAGAGAGAGACCAGAGAGAGAGACCAGAGAGAGACCAGAGAGAGAGACCAGAGAGAGAGACCAGAGAGAGAGACCAGAGAGAGAGACCAGAGAGAGACCAGAGAGAGACCAGAGAGAGAGAGACCAGAGAGAGAGACCAGAGAGAGAGACCAGAGAGAGAGACCAGAGAGAGACCAGAGAGAGAGACCAGAGAGAGAGAGAGACCAGAGAGAGAGACCAGAGAGAGAGAGACCAGAGAGAGAGACCAGAGAGAGACCAGAGAGAGACCAGAGAGAGAGAGACCAGAGAGAGAGAGACCAGAGAGAGAGACCAGAGAGAGAGAGACCAGAGAGAGAGAGACCAGAGAGAGAGACCAGAGAGAGAGACCAGAGAGAGAGACCAGAGAGAGAGACCAGAGAGAGAGACCAGAGAGAGACCAGAGAGAGACCAGAGAGAGAGACCAGAGAGAGAGACCAGAGAGAGACCAGAGAGAGACCAGAGAGAGAGACCAGAGAGAGAGACCAGAGAGAGAGACCAGAGAGAGAGACCAGAGAGAGAGACCAGAGAGAGACCAGAGAGAGAGACCAGAGAGAGAGACCAGAGAGAGAGACCAGAGAGAGACCAGAGAGAGACCAGAGAGAGACCAGAGAGAGACCAGAGAGAGAGACCAGAGAGAGACCAGAGAGAGAGACCAGAGAGAGAGACCAGAGAGAGAGACCAGAGAGAGACCAGAGAGAGACCAGAGAGAGACCAGAGAGAGAGAGAGAGACCAGAGAGAGACCAGAGAGAGAGACCAGAGAGAGAGACCAGAGAGAGAGACCAGAGAGAGACAGAGAGAGAGAGAGAGAGACCAGAGAGAGACCAGAGAGAGACCAGAGAGAGAGAGACCAGAGAGAGAGAGACCAGAGAGAGAGACCAGAGAGAGACCAGAGAGAGAGACCAGAGAGAGAGACCAGAGAGAGAGACCAGAGAGAGAGACCAGAGAGAGAGACCAGAGAGAGAGACCAGAGAGAGACCAGAGAGAGACCAGAGAGAGAGACCAGAGAGAGAGACCAGAGAGAGAGACCAGAGAGAGACCAGAGAGAGAGACCAGAGAGAGAGACCAGAGAGAGAGACCAGAGAGAGACCAGAGAGAGACCAGAGAGAGAGACCAGAGAGAGAGACCAGAGAGAGAGACCAGAGAGAGAGAGACCAGAGAGAGAGAGAGAGACCAGAGAGAGACCAGAGAGAGACCAGAGAGAGACCAGAGAGAGAGAGACCAGAGAGAGAGAGACAGATGAGAGAGAGACCAGAGAGAGAGACCAGAGAGAGAGACCAGAGAGAGAGACCAGAGAGAGACCAGAGAGAGACCAGAGAGAGAGACCAGAGAGAGAGACCAGAGAGAGAGAGAGAGAGACCAGAGAGAGAGACCAGAGAGAGAGAGACCAGAGAGAGACCAGAGAGAGACCAGAGAGAGAGACCAGAGAGAGAGACCAGAGAGAGACCAGAGAGAGAGACCAGAGAGAGAGAGACCAGAGAGAGAGAGACCAGAGAGAGAGAGACCAGAGAGAGAGACCAGAGAGAGAGAGACAGAGAGAGAGAGACCAGAGAGAGAGACCAGAGAGAGAGACCAGAGAGAGAGAGAGACCAGAGAGAGAGACCAGAGAGAGAGACCAGAGAGAGACCAGAGAGAGAGACCAGAGAGAGAGACCAGAGAGAGAGACCAGAGAGAGAGACCAGAGAGAGAGAGACCAGAGAGAGAGACCAGAGAGAGACCAGAGAGAGAGAGAGACCAGAGAGAGAGAGACCAGAGAGAGAGAGACCAGAGAGAGAGACCAGAGAGAGAGACCAGAGAGAGACCAGAGAGAGAGACCAGAGAGAGACCAGAGAGAGACCAGAGAGAGAGACCAGAGAGAGAGAGACCAGAGAGAGAGACCAGAGAGAGAGACCAGAGAGAGAGACCAGAGAGAGAGACCAGAGAGAGACCAGAGAGAGAGACCAGAGAGAGAGAGACCAGAGAGAGAGACCAGAGAGAGAGAGACCAGAGAGAGAGAGAGACCAGAGAGAGACCAGAGAGAGAGAGACCAGAGAGAGAGAGACCAGAGAGAGAGACCAGAGAGAGAGACCAGAGAGAGAGACCAGAGAGAGACCAGAGAGAGAGACCAGAGAGAGACCAGAGAGAGACCAGAGAGAGACCAGAGAGAGAGACCAGAGAGAGAGAGACCAGAGAGAGAGACCAGAGAGAGAGACCAGAGAGAGAGAGACCAGAGAGAGAGAGAGACCAGAGAGAGACCAGAGAGAGAGACCAGAGAGAGACCAGAGAGAGACCAGAGAGAGAGACCAGAGAGAGAGACCAGAGAGAGAGAGACCAGAGAGAGAGACCAGAGAGAGAGAGACCAGAGAGAGAGACCAGAGAGAGACCAGAGAGAGACCAGAGAGAGAGACCAGAGAGAGACCAGAGAGAGACCAGAGAGAGACCAGAGAGAGACCAGAGAGAGAGACCAGAGAGAGAGACCAGAGAGAGAGACCAGAGAGAGACCAGAGAGAGACCAGAGAGAGAGAGACCAGAGAGAGAGAGAGACCAGAGAGAGAGAGACCAGAGAGAGAGACCAGAGAGAGACCAGAGAGAGACCAGAGAGAGACCAGAGAGAGACCAGAGAGAGAGAGAGACCAGAGAGAGAGACCAGAGAGAGACCAGAGAGAGAGACCAGAGAGAGAGACCAGAGAGAGACCAGAGAGAGACAAAAGAGAGAGACAAGAGAGAGAGACTAGAGAGAGGCCAGAGAGAGACTAGAGAGAGACCTGAGAGAGACCAAAGGGAGAGGCCAGAGAGAGAGACCAAAGAGAGACCAGAGAGAGACTAGAGAGAGACCAGAGAGAGACCAGAGAGAGACTAGAGAGACCAGAGAGAGAGACTAGAGAGAGAGACCTGAGAGAGAGACCTGAGAGAGAGACAAAAGAGAGAGACAAAAGAGAGAGACAAGAGAGAGAGACTAGAGAGAGACCTGAGAGAGACCATAGAGAGACATTAGAGAGAGACTAGAGAGAGACCTGAGAGAGAGACAAAAGAGAGAGACTAGAGAAAGACCTGAGAGAGACCAGAGAGAGACCAGAGAGAGAGACTAGAGAGAGCCCTGAGAGAGAGACCAAAGAGAGACCAGAGAGAGACTAGAGAGAGACCAGAGAGAGAGACTAGATAGAGACCAGAGAGAGACCAGAGAGAGAGCATCTATATTCAAGCATGTATTACTTCAAATGTTATCATTTTTTGCAGTGCACTCTGGGAGTTCTTGCAGTTTCAGAATGAACTTTAAGTCTCATTGTAAAGAATGTCAACACATACAGACCGTCAAAGTAGTGTCCCAGGGGGCAGCTGAGGCCCGGACACTGCCCCCCCACAGGAGAGGTGCCTCCCTGACACAGCTCACAGTCGGAGGGTCCCGCGTCTCTGCAGGACAAGCAGGATGAGTGACAGGTCTGACAGCGCCACCCACTGGTGTCTCCGAACGTCTGCTGCGGACACTGCTTCACACACGCCACACCTGAAGGACCACGGAGCAAACAGATATATCATTATTTATTATTATTATCTAAGTCTTTATAATATAGATAAATACTTCACACATGATGAACTAAAGGGAACTGTTATAAATGATTAATTACTCTCGTTCACTCAAGGTTTCTAAATTTCTAATGGCTCTAAGGGGTTTCTAAAGGCTTTAAAAAGAGTGGGTTTCAATTCAACAGGTTCTGTTTATGTTTTAGTGCTATTTCAGTTGAAGGCAGGTGCCGACATGGCCTGGTCGTACCACACCATAGTACTAATTACATTTGGTACTAAGGTCTGGAGGTGTTCCATTGACTCCGTGAACAGTGGGAGGGGTCAACTCCTTTTGCAGAGTGAAATCTGGATCTGAGTTTACTGTGACGTATGTAATGAGCCCGAGTCTGTGGTTAGCATTTAACCTAGCTTTAGCATTTAGCCTAGCTTTAGCCAACTCCTTTGCCGCTAACGGAGCCCGTGGGGAGTAGCGCCACAATCTTTGCAGCAATTACATTTGCTAAACATTCCTCTTGCTCCGGCTTCAGTTTCTTGATAGAACCAGAGCAGAATACTTTACTTTCACATTTTTCGTCAAACTACGACCTTCCCGTTTGACGCAAACTCTTGACGTCACAAACATCTAACTACAACACCCGCCTCCCGCGCTCTACGGAGAGTACGGATGGATAAGACCAGGCTAATGTCGACACAACGGGAACAAAGATTTTTTTGAATGTTGGACAAAATAAAATGTCCAAATGTTTTCCATGATCTTCATAGTGAGGAATTACATTCATGTTTGTATCGTACTAAATCACAACAATAGTTTTCTTAGTTCAAACAAATGACAACTGAGTTGTTCCTCGCAGATACAGGAACAAGTTGTTATTGCATTTCCCAGAGAGGAAAAGTGACCCAGGACTGAGGCTGTAGACCCAGGACTGAGGCTGTAGACCCAGGACTGAGGCTGTAGACCCAGGACTGAGGCTGTAGACCCAGGACTGAGGCTGTAGACCCAGGACTGAGGCTGTAGACCCAGGACTGAGGCTGTCGACCCAGGACTGAGGCTGTAGACCCAGGACTGAGGCTGTAGACCCAGGACTGAGGCTGTAGACCCAGGACTGAGGCTGTAGACCCAGGACTGAGGCTGTCGACCCAGGACTGAGGCTGTAGACCCAGGACTGAGGCTGTAGACCCAGGACTGAGGCTGTAGACCCAGGACTGAGACTGTAGACCCAGGACTGAGGCTGTAGACCCAGGACTGAGGCTGTAGACCCAGGACTGAGACTGTAGACCCAGGACTGAGGCTGTAGACCCAGGACTGAGGCTGTAGATCCAGGACTGAGGCTGTAGACCCAGGACTGAGGCTGTAGACCCAGGACTGAGGCTGTAGATCCAGTCCTGAGGCTGTAGATCCAGGACTGAGGCTGTAGACCCAGGACTGAGGCTGTAGACCCAAGACTGAGGCTGTAGACCCAGGACTGAGGCTGTAGACCCAGGACGGAGACTGCCCTAAACTGTAGGCTCTTTGTGATGTCACATGAATCACTCTACAACCTCGTCATGGACCCTCGGCCCAAACAGACGGACACAAAATACATAAAAAACCAAGAAAACAGCGATGCCAGTGTCTTCCGCAGCGATACTGATGTGAACTAAACCTTTTGTTTTATAAAAGTCCTGAACACCTGCGGCTCACTCTCGGCTCAGACACAGCTCAGACGCACGAGTCCTTTGTGGATTTCTCAAAAGCACATGAAAGTGGTTAATGTGGGCCACCTGCAGTCCAAGCAGCCGGAGGAGGGCCTCGTACGATGCTCTTAAACTTAGTAAGTGGTGCATACTAGCATTAGCACATCAAGAAATCATAACGACTGAAACTCAACAAAACATGTTTGACATTCCACTCTGTTTCCATAGTAACTGAGTCTCATGTGGAGTAAACACACTGTTCTCCTGACATTTGCATGTTCTCCTAGTGACCTGGAGCAGATTTACAATCCAAATGAACTCCTCGGCTCTCCGCAGTATCTATTAGATCAGCTGCATTTAAAGAATATAGAATTAATAAACAATATATTTTCATTTAGAGTTTTTTGGAGCATTCTGTAGTGTACAGGCTATTTAACTAATCTGAAATTTCAATCTAGCTAAAAGCACATTTACAATCATTTTTCTGTGTGTGTCTCTCTGTGTGGCGCCACCTGCAGGCGAAAACTAGATCTTGTCAGACCTCTGAAGCTAAACAGGGAGGGGCCTAGTAAGTACTGTGATGGGAGACGGTGTGTGTGTGTGTGTGTGTGTGCGTATGTGTGTGTGTGTGTGTGCGCGCGTATGTGCGTGTGTGTGTGTGTGTGTGTGTGTGTGTGTGTGTGTCACCGTTGAGGAAGTATCCGTTCAGACAGGACAGGCAGGTGCTGCTGCTGCTGCAGTCGGTGCAGGGGGCGGGACACGACACACACGTCCTGCGCTCAGGGTCTGCGTACGTGCGCTGAGGACAGTGCCGGCGACACTTGTATCTGAAACTACAATTCAGACATCACATTTAGAACGCATTCAAACAGGGTCAATCTGGTTTAATCTGGTTTCATCTGGTTCCAGCTGGTTCAATCTGGTTTATTTAGGGCAAAATCTGGTTCATTTGCGATGATGTGAAAGCACAAAACAAGTTTAAAGTCTGAAGAAATGACAAAAGATGTGGAGGTCTGGGATCGTTTCACAGAAGAACACATTTATTATTGTTGGCAAAAGACACAAACACACATTTTATTCCAGACAAAACATGGACGCTGCAATATGTTAGCTTCAACCTTTAGACAAAAGCATCAAGAAGAGAATCACTGACTTCTGTGGACTGTTATAAACTGTTATAAATTCAGTTTTAACATAATTGCACCAAAAGTCTCGTAAAAATTCCATAGTTCCACAAGTCACATAAGACAGACCCTGAAGGACTGTAGAGGGAGTGGACAAACAGAACCATGGAAGTAGACGAACAAGCTCTATGGAATCTGGAGCCAAATTTGAGGGTAGCAACAGCCTAGCAACCAAAGAGCCAATCAGGAGTGGCACCAGCCGCTTCCCGCTCGCACACATGATTGGTCAGATGATAGCGCTCATATCTGCATTTTATAAAGAATGGGAACAAAACTTCGCCATGAGCACTTCCCTAAAGGCTTGAGCTGGAGTGGTTTGAATGAATAATGCGATATCAGCGTCAGCTAAATGGGGGCTGTTGAAACTGTTTGAAATGAAAGAGGACCACAACCAAACAACACAAAAAGTCAAACCAGTTTCTGTGCTTTAGAAAGGACATCAAAGTGAGCCGAGGTCCCAGAATGCACTGCTCCAGTCCGCAACTCTCCCAGATCCATTGTCCAGGAATCCACTCATGGACACACCCAGGGACCAGTCACGCTTTACACCTGTCAGGTTACGGCCTTGTTTCCACCTGCCCTACTTGGCCCTACTCTACTCGGCTCTACTCTACCTGGTTGTGTTTCAATTACGCTGGTATCGTATCCTAGCAACCAACCCACAACCAACTAGTTATTCCTTGGTAACAATGTCTTCCAGCTGCATTCTGGCCAATCACTGGTAGTTTGGACACTTTTTAGTCCCAACTTTGGATTTCTAACAATACTTTGAAGCAACTGTAGTTAAAGTTGAATTCATCATTATAACATATGCTGGAGCTGGTACTTTTCCACTTGAATATTTTGTTTATCTGAAGGCCGAAGCTACTGGCAGCGCGCCTCTATTCACCCATGCTTTAAATCCTTTTCTGTAAAATCTTTGTTCGTGTCTCGTCTCTACCATCGACAATAAAACATGTCCAGCCGAGAAGGGTAGGGTTAGGCCAAGTAGGTCCGGCCGCAGAGAGCCCTGTCCTTAAAACCTAGAACTACACATTTTTGTCAAAGAACCTAATTTTTTCCAACAACAAGCCTCATACACAGGAACTTTACCACCTTAACATAATCAATATTTTGTCTATTTCTTTGGCCTCAACATCTCCCAGTCATGAAGGTGAATGTGACTTTTATATTTCTGAATGCTTTGAAGTCTGATGTTATGAACTAAAGTAGACTGAAATGTTTTTAATAATATCATATCTAAAGAGAAGCCTGTGTTTGTGGCTAACTGTGGTCACTGTTGGTGCATTCATGGAAAGTTTGGCGTTTCTCCTGGACACAGTAAACGTTTGGGGGTCTGTTGGGGGTCTGTGGGGGGTTTGTGAGGGGTCTGTGGGGGCTTCAGGGACCCTCTGTAAACACCGGACTCTCCACATGCTTTGGTTTCAGGAGAAAACTGGAGGAAACTGGACTAAATTATTGACTTCTGCAGAAATGGGACGATAAATGTCACCAAATACCAAGCATCCATCATGCTCCAGTGGACGTGTTATATTGATACCACTAAACTGAACAAGAGTAAGAAAATATATTGTTTTTGCTTGTCTTTTTAGTATATGTTTGTGTTACTGTTGTGAATGCATGCTTTTAACTGCTGTATTTGCATATAATGCCATGTGACCCCAGCCCCCCTCGAACTACAGATGAAAACTAAACTTTGTTTACAATCTGTCGTGCCAACAATATGGTCAACCATACGCCATAATTCTTGTGTTTCATTAAACTGGCCTGTAGGGGGCGCATGAGCAGAGGTGGGACAGTTTTGCTCCCATTGAAAACCATGTAAAGTCTGTTTTGGAGTCAGAGGTTCTCCTCCTGTGCGGTGTACGGTTGTTGGAACAGTCTTAATCGGGGACACTTAGTTCTAAGGGAGGACTAACAAATATTTCTCAAAAGAGTCTTGATTTTGGGCATTTTTGGAAAGAAAAACAGAAGAAATGTCTGCGTTTCATTGGGGTGGCCTGCAGGGGGCGCTTATCTGGGAAAGCCTTGATCCACCTCGCCCGCCTCATTCCAGTGATTTTTTCAAAGTGTCCTCCTTTATATGAGACACAGTTGGAACATGAACAAACTCTGGTCTTTCTCTATTTGTGCAGTTGCTACAAGCGTTCACCGCACAAAAAGATGCTTCTTCTTCTACTATATCTCCGTGTATAAACCTCTTCTTCTTCTTCTATATCTCCGTGTATAAACCACTTCTTCTTCTACTACTGTATATCTCCGTGTATAAACCACTTCTTCTTCTACTACTGTATATCTCCGTGTATAAACCCGGCAGACTGCACCTCCAGGACACGTCACGCCCTGTCCTACGTTTGTTATTCACTGCCCTGACGTCAAATGGAACCCAAGAATATCTGGACGACAAGCCGCAACTTTTTTCTACTCCTTTATACCCTGCGGCTTATACAGCAATGCAGCTAATATGTTTATTTATATTGTGGTAAAGTTGGACTGTTTTTTTATGGATTATGGAGAAAAGTTTATTGATTTATTATTTTTGACGCCATCAAGTTTTAGTGGCTACAGGGCACTTGTTTATTGTCAAAATAGATGAAGGGGAATGAGTCCTGGAAGCTTTCATGTTGTTCTCTCTCTGCTACATCCAAACATGAAAACCTGCGGCTTATATTCCAGTGTGGCCTATGTGTGGACAACATTGTTTTTCTTTAAAAATGTAGGTCATGTGGCTTTTATACAGGTGCACCTTATAGTCCAGAAAGCAGGGTGTGGTCATTGACACGTAAGGTCCCAGTCAAATGTAGAGAGAAATACAAATTGAGGGGTTTGGCAATCAGAGCTCCCATTCTCACAGCACCAGAAACACAAATACACTGCACTGCAAAAAATGATCAAATATGAGATCATAATTACTAGAATCAAGTTTTTTTTAACTTGACTTAAGTTCATTCTGACTGTCTTAAAATGAGATTTGCCAATGAGACAAGCAATTTTGACTTGATTCAAGAACTATTGCTTTATTTTCTCATTCCAAGAGAGAAATATCTTGTATCTTTTTAAAACAAGACAATTTTTCTTGTTCCACTGGCAAATCTTGGTTTAAGGCAGTCAAAATGTGCTCAAATTTAGATACATTTAGCCAAATTTGAGCATTTTATTGTCTTTAATTCTGTCATCTTTTGCAGTGTATATGTATATACACTGCAAAAAATGAGATTCTCCAATGGGACATTTAGTCTTTATTTTGTCATTCCAATCTTGCTTTAAGGCAGTCAAAATGTGTTTAATTTAAGACACATTCAACCAAAATTCAGCATTTTTTGGACTTGTTTTTCATCCCTTTTGGCAGTGTGTTGTTATAAAGAATGAGGAGGAAGTTACTCACAGAAAGTATCCATCACTGCAGCTGTTGCAGATCGCACGGTTTTCTGAACACAACACAATAAAGTATCATACGTCTGTACAGTAGAAAATACAGCAGAAAATACAGTAGAAAATACAGCAGAACAGGGCTGTCAAACTCCAATTTTAAAACATAAGAGCCGGTTGGGGCCAGAAGTATATTTGGCTTTTGTTGTATAAACTGTATTTGACATGAGTTTGGACATTATTTTCTTGTAGTTGATCCAACCACAACTGGGCCAAATATCAAGAAGAGATGTATTTGTCGTTAACACTTTAGAACAGATAGAGACGAGAGATATCAGACTTTCAAATGAAGAATAACATTCCAGAGTCTCTCATCAGTGCTGCAGCTCACTGTGAGAAGGATAATGGGAAATCATAACAGGGGCCACTGAAAATGCTCTTGCGGTCCGGATTTGGCTCACGGGCCTGAGTTTGACACGCCTGCAGTAGAACATGTGTGTGTATGTTTAAACCCTCACCGGTGGAGCAGGCGGAGCAGCCGGCCTCGCACCCCACACACTCCCCAGTGTCGGGGTCCTGCACCTGCCCTGCAACACACACATCCACATCTGATGAACGCATGAACGGACAATAACAAATAAAATGGATAAATGCAAACAAAAAACAATTGGTATGGAAGATTTTTGTGTCACTGAGCTACTGTCAGGGCGACAGTAGCTCAGTTGGTAGAGCATTGGCCTTAAGGCCAGAAGGTCATGGGTTCAATTCCCACCTCTGCACCTTCTCCACCGACTCCCACTGATGACTGCTGTTGTTGTGTCCTTGGGCAAGACACTTAACCCCACTTTGCCCAAAGCCCCAGCTGGAAGATCTCAGCTCCTGTGGACTCACCACCTGCAGAGGGTCAGTGAGGGGCTGGTGCTATGAGACTTGGGTGGCATCTCTGACTGCCACCCCCCTGACCCAGAAATGGATTAAAGGGTAGAAAATGGATGGATGGATGGATTTTTGTGTCATCAGATTTAAAAAAAAATTTAGCTTGAATTTTTCCATTTGATTCCATTATGAAATTGATAGAAACAAATATTCAAACATGCTTTTTCAGGGTTAAAAATTACAAATGGAAAAATTCAAGCTAAAAAAAATTCTAAATCTAATGACACAAAAAGTCTTCCATAAATGTGTTCCCTCAAGGAATAAATAAAATAAACAATCTTATCCGAAAGGGAGCAGGAAGAAGAACAAATACTAATGTAACCCCGCCCCCTTTTCTACTTTAATCAATTTAACAAAACAAAAAACAAACAATCTTCCGACTTCCCTTTAACTACTTAAAGACTTCAAGATTATCCGACAGATAAGACTGAAACACAAGAAAAGAACCAAAGCTGTGGATAAAAATGACAATGTTTCTGTTGGATATCTACAAAATAAATGTCTTTTAAATCCTCTTTTGAAATTATAAATATTATGGCAACGTTTTAAACCAGTTTCTACACGATTCCATAATTTTATTCATACAGATTCACTAAAACGTTTTCTTTGATCGAGCAAAAGGCACTTTGAAATGACATGTTCCTCTTAAATCCTAAACTCTTTCACTTTCTCAGTAAAACCTCTGAAAGTTTCCTGGGAATTGTTTGCTTTTTCAATCTATTCGTAAGTTAAGATTTTGGATGATTCTGTTTCTCTCGGGCGATGACATTTAGCAGATGGTAAACGTCAGAGTAAACAACAGGGCGGACACTGAGACCTTTTTTCTCTAACACAAGAAAAGGATTTAAAACGTCTCTGAGAGGAAAACAAACACTTTATATTTGGATCAGATACTTTAGAGATGTAGAGATAGAAGAAAATAAATCACACAAAGCATCATAAATAATCACAGTACATTAAAAAGAGTAAAGGTACAATCTTCAGTTGTTTACCAGGATTTGAACATTGTCAGAGAAGAAGCCTGTCTCACTTTTTCAGGAAGACTGTTCCAGCTTTTAGCAACATGAATCTGAAAGGCTGCCTCCTCATGTTTAGTTTGGACTCTGGGACCAGCAGGAGCCAGTCCCTGTGCTCCTCAGAGTCCCAGCAGGAGCCAGTCCCTGTGCTCCTCAGAGTCCCAGCAGGAGGCCAGTCCCTGTGCTCCTCAGAGTCCCAGCAGGAGGCCAGTCCCTGTGCTCCTCAGAGTCCCAGCAGGAGTCCAGTCCCTGTGCTCCTCAGAGTCCCAGCAGGAGGCCAGTCCCTGTGCTCCTCAGAGTCCCAGCATGAAACCAGTCCCTGTGCTCCTCAGAGTTCCAGCAGGAGGCCAGTCCCTGTGCTCCTCAGAGTCCCAGCAGGAGTCCAGTCCCTGTGCTCCTCAGAGTCCCAGCATGAAACCAGTCCCTGTGCTCCTCAGAGTTCCAGCAGGAGACCAGTCCCTGTGCTCCTCAGAGTTGGTTCATATGTCACTTTGGTACGAGGCTATGGAGAGACTAAATCTGTCACAAACAGAGCTGATTTAAAGTCTATTTTCTGAGCCACAAAAGAGTGAGTGATTGTTGGTTTACAATTGAAACAAAGCTTATATCACATCCCTTTATTAAAAGAAAAGATGTTATTGTCTGTGGGATGTTTACTTAATGTCCACACATGATCCTGGTTTTATATTTTGTTCACCAAATTCCACAGTATTGATCCAAAAAGGCTTAAAAAGACAAACACTGACTTTCGTTTCGACAAAACTGAAAAGCTACATATTCTTTAACCAGCAGTGGATTTGAAACGCAAAATAGAAATGACCAGGTTAAAACAGTTTTGTTTAGCTGCAACAACTGTATCTTCTTACTCCTTGTGTATGAACCGTGCCATACAAATAACCTTGCCTTGCCTTGGTCACCCAGAGAGCTACTTTCCCGGGACGATAAAGGCAGAGAGCTACTCCTTTCAAACCTGGGGGAAAATGTAGTATCTTGGTGTGAGAGAGAACAGTCATTATTTATCGTCACATATTTGTTACGAAGAAGAAGAAGAAAAAATAGGTCCTTAATTCATCTCACAATGGGCAGTTTCAGTTTGATGCATACATGTACACACATACATGTACACACATATACACATGTACACACATACATATACACATATACACATATACACATGTACACACATACATATACACATATACACATATACACATGTACACACATACATATACACATGTAAGTAAGTAATCTTTATTTTATATACCGCCTTTTCACTGCACATCGGAGTCTCAAAGCGGTTTACAATTGTTATTTTTGGGAGCGGGGCCAGTACAGGAGGCACATGCCAGATCTATTGTACATATTTTTAGTGGTAGGGGAAACCGGAGTACCCGGAGGAAACCTACGCAGACACAGGGAGAACATGCAAACTCCACTCAGAAAGGCCCTGGTCCAACCGGGATTCGAACCCAGGACCTTCTTGCTGAGAGGCGAGAGTGCTATCCACTCAGCCACCGTGCTGTATGTGTGTATGTACACACATACATATACACATATACACATATACACATGTACACATATACACATGTACACACATACACATGTACACACATACATATACACACACACACATACATATACACATATACATATACACATATACATATACACATATACATATACACATATACACACACACACACACACACATACACATCAAGGCAAGCAGCGAACATCACTTCCGCGCTCCTTTTAGGCAAAGTGGGTTAAGTGTCTTGCCCAAGGACACAACGACAGCAGACATGAGTGGAGTCGGTGGAGAAGGTCTCTTGGTGGACTCAAACCCATGACCTTCAGGCTCAGAGGCCAATGCTCTACCAACTGAGCTACTAGTGTAGTGACAAAATGCCTTTACAATAATACATAATGATAGTGAATAATACAATAATACGAAATATGAAGTGTATTATTTGATTTGTTCATTTCTAAATCCTTTGGCGAGCTACCTGGAAGGGGATGGCGAGCTACCTGGAAGGGGATGGCGAGCTACCTGGAAGGAGATGGCGAGCTACCTGGAAGGGGATGGCGAGCTACATGGAAGGGGATGGCGAGCTACCTGGAAGGGGATGGCGAGCTACCTGGAAGGGGATGGCGAGCTACCTGGAAGGAGATGGCGAGCTACCTGGAAGGGGATGGCGAGCTACCTGGAAGGGGATGGCGAGCTACATGGAAGGGGATGGCGAGCTACCTGGAAGGGGATGGCGAGCTACCTGGAAGGGGATGGCGAGCTACCTGGAAGGAGATGGCGAGCTACCTGGAAGGGGATGGCGAGCTACATGGAAGGGGATGGCGAGCTACCTGGAAGGGGATGGCGAGCTACCTGGAAGGGGATGGCGAGCTACATGGAAGGGGATGGCGAGCTACATGGAAGGGGATGGCGAGCTACCTGGAAGGGGATGGCGAGCTACATGGAAGGGGATGGCGAGCTACATGGAAGGGGATGGCGAGCTACCTGGAAGGGGATGGCGAGCTACCTGGAAGGGGATGGCGAGCTACATGGAAGGGGATGGCGAGCTACCTGGAAGGGGATGGCGAGCTACCTGGAAGGGGATGGCGAGCTACCTGGAAGGGGATGGCGAGCT